TTGTGGGATTTCAAACAGATAGCATCCATGATGCTCACCAAACTAGATACTACAATCGTTGAAAAAAAAATAAAAAAAAATGCCTCCTCATCGATGTGGCTGTTCCTTGTGCCCATAATATTAAGGTCAAAGAAATTGGCAAGCTTAAGAAATACACCCATCCCCGGGGTGAGGATGTCAGAATGTGATACTTTCACGTCCCTATTGTGCCAGTTCTCATTGAGTCTTAGTGGCCTATACCAACGAACATTAAGTAAATATATATATATATATATATAAATAAAAAAGGAAAACCTCGCCTAAGATACGTTTTTCTTTTTTCTTTATTCATATAGTCCTTTTACAGATATACTCTATCTGATATATATATATATATATATATATATATATATATATATATATATATATACCCAAGTATATAATTGGTGTGTATTCAAAATCAACACTTGATAAGACACCGGAGGTGTTGAAGCAAAATGACTATTTTGTAGTGATTTTATAACATATTTACGTTATAATTTTTAAAATATATATATATATATATATATATATATATATATATATATATATATATATAATACGGAACGCCATAAATTATAATAACGTTTGTTTAACAAGTTGAATGCACGTGAAACATGATTAACAAATGAAAATTAAATAACAGACTAAATAAAAATACCGGGATTTCTTTCTTTTATTTTCATCCCTATCTCATTTGAGATTCAAGCTCCAATAAATGTGAAACATGTTAGATTAATAAACTTCTTCTATTTGTTCTTTACCTTATCATTCATATATATCTGCTGCCTTGATCACCATTCTTCTTTTACCCTTTCCTCAATCCCCCACTATACACAGTCTTTTCCCCCATTTTCCCTCTCTGTAACCCCCTGCGTGCTAGTGGCACTCTCGACTTTCTTGGGGTTAAATGTTATATATATATATATATATATATATATATATATATATATATGTGTGTGTGTGTGTGTGTGTGTGTGTGTGTGTGTGTGTGTGTGTGTGTGTGTGTTTACAGAAAAACAGACCACTTTAAGGTTCCATTATAATAATTTAGTTCCTTAGAGCCCTTTTAAGTGATGCTGGATCATCAGATAGCACTTCCAAAAATGTTATGTGTTATCTGATGATCCAGCGTCCCTTAAAAGGGCTCTGGCGAAATAAATTATTACAATGGAACCTTAAAGTGCTCTGTTTTTCTTTAAATTATTAGCTCTGGATTTACATTGAGTTCTCAGGATTTCATCCTTCTTGGGACTACCCATACGGATTACCAAGATTTTCATAACTTATATATATATATATATATATATATATATATATATATATAAACCTAGGATTCATTATTCCTTTTGTCTGTTTCCTATTTACTTGTTATCTAACCTTTGGCTTTTAGATTATTGGCTGTGTTTTTCTTAATGTTTGTTGGACTTAACCTTAAAAATAAGCACAAGCACTTCAGACTGTCTGCCCTCAATAAGTTTCTCTGTTTTAAATCGTAAATCCACACAATGTCGGATTCATTATTTCTTTTGTTTGTCTCCTATTTACTTGTTATCTAACCTTTGCCTTGTAGATTGTGGCTGCGTTTTTCTTGGATCTGCCATTTGATGTCTTTTGTCTGACAGTTTCTAGCAGTCATTATTTTTTTCTTTACTTATTTCTGTCAACTGTCTTCATTCTTTTACAACTGATGTGACACTGTCTTCTTGATGGATCAGTATCATCATCATCAACATCATCATCATCAAAATCATTCTCCTCCTCCTCATCATCATCATCGCCTTTATTATTACACAAGTTGGACCGACGGAAATTCCAGTGGAGTAGGCAACTAAAATATCCACTTTATTCTTGCGTACATATTTCCGCACTGACTAATGGAAAACAATCAGACGAGGGCAATAACAAGATCCCTGGAAGCCCCGGTTTGGAAGAGATAAAAAAGAATTGCACTGTGTGGAAATTCTCTTCTACTCACGAGAGTATTATCGATGCAAATCAGAACATAACACTGTACATTTTGAGTAGCACTTAATATAGGAATTGGTGCAATGAATGTATATATATATATATATATATATATATATATATATATATATATATATATATATATATATATATATATATATATATATATACTATCTTACATTATCCTAGGTTTTAGATTATGATACTGTGAGTGATTGTATTTAACAGAAAGCTGATAATAATAATAATAATAGTGATGCAGTAGTAGTAGTAGTATTACCATTGTAAAAACGATGGCAAGTTTAACCTTTTTATAGTTAATACTCTGTCCGTACCAAACAAGCTTATGAAGACAACCCCCATATCTAAGTATAGTTACGTAGTGCAGGGTTGAAAGCTGAATGTTTTATTCTTGCTAATTAGAAATTACCAAGAACACATACTGAACAACTGTATTAAACTGAAATCCAGATTCTGCAATAAATATCCAGAAACAATTGACCATCTTGTATCAGGTTGCATGGTGTTAGCACCCACTGAATATAAGACTCGGCTTGATAGATGGATAAATATATGCAGAGGAAAATATGCAACTGTTACAGGAAAGAAACAGCAAGTAATTGTGATGGACATCAATCAGAGCCGGTCATAGAGATAGGAAGTGTAACAATTTTATGGGACTTTTCAATCCACACAGAAAGAACAATCAAAGCTAATATTCCAGATATCGCGACTTCAAAAATAGAATGTGCTTTCTTATTGCTATAGCAGTCCTTGAAAATTGTAATGTATCTTTGAAGATCTTAAAAACTATCAAAATGCAATGGTCTTGAAGTGGAAATCTAAAAAAATGTAGAACATGAGGACATCAGTAATTCAAGTTGTAGTTGAAGCCCTCGGATTGATTTGAAAAGAGTTCGATAGACACATTGAAGGGATTCCTGTAGCCTTAAAGGAACATAAAAAAATTGTACTCATAAAAATAGCTCGCATCTTACGAAGAGCTTTTTCCATGCAAAATGTGTGATTTTAGTTTTCTTTTCTCTGATTAGTGGAAAATGTTATGAAGCGACTTCTAACATTTTGTCCCTGAATGGGACCCGGAAGAAAATGCGTATATAGCAGAAATCAAAGTAAGTAAGTAAGTAAGTAATAATAATAATAATAATAATAATAATAATAATAACTCGTACGAGCAATTGCCTTGTAGAACAATTGAAGAATTTGGGAAACCCACAATATTCTGGGACTATGATTTCAAACAAAATGATACAGCATCGCCGTCCTGATCTTATTGTGCATGATAAAGGCAGCAAGTAATATTATTGATGTTGCCATACAAAATGACACAAATATAGCAAACAAGGTGGACAACGAAATGCCAATGACGTTTCGAATGCAGGAAGGGAATGCCAAGGTGATTCCAGTTGTGATTGGTGCATTGGGATCAATAATGTGATTAAAACTCTGCGACTTGCCAGACCAACTAGAGATAACGTACCAACTTGCGGGTTATCCAATAATGGACTCTTTTGGGAACTGAGTATATTGTGAGAAAAGTATCGTCTTTGTTGTGACTTTGATAGTGACTTAATGTACCCGGTGTATACAAAAATTCACGTTGTGTCGATAAAGAATAATAATAAGAAAATGCTCTGAGCAGTGAAGAACTGCAGCAATATGCAGCAACACAAATGCATCCCGCACATAAATAGACAGTTGTGCTGTTGCATATTTCTGCCCTTCTTCACTGTTCACCAAGAAGTCGAAGGAAGGTCTCTGGCACAGAAGATCTGCTGTAATGTTCAGCAACACAGATGGACACTAATGGAGATGAAGTGAGAAGGAAAAAAACATTGACGGCGAGAACGGAGTGGAAACAGCAACGCAAATTACTGAGGGTCAGTGAAGACATCCAGTAATGATTGAAAAAAGGGACTGAAAGTATAACAATGGTAACCAGATCAGGCCAATGAATAGAGTCGTTACCATATTTTTGGCGGGAACTACCCAGTCCTCACTTTCCAGTCTTGCTATAGTTCAAAAGCATCTTCGAATCCTTGTGGGTAATGAATTATTTTCCATTATTCAATCTCTCTCTCTCTCTTACAGGTGGGATGTGGCGACCCTCTCGCTGCTCTATCGCTGCTTCCATGGAAAGTGCTCAGACTAACTACATTCCTTGGTTCCGACACATTTAACCTTCACGATTAGAACCCGCCATGCCACTTGCATAGTAGCAAACCATCCACATTTCCTTTGTATTCTATCGGTGAGAAGTAAGTTCCACTCGAACAGCTTCTTCTTGTGAAACACTGCTCTTGGAACAGACCCCAAGCGGGTATATTTCCGATCTCTATACACTTAACCTGTTCAAGTTAACCGTTATCTCTCCCTCCTAGCCGTATAAACTACCCCATAACCTAACGCAATACCTTGAGTGGCCGCTAGACCTTGTACAGAGTGAACCTTACTGTAAAATAAAGCCATATGTTTCCTTATACGGAAACGGCTAATATTACATCGCCATTATCATTAGTGTTCTATTAAGTCTCCAACCAATGTGCATATATTATTATTATTATTATTATTATTATTATTATTATTATATCCGAAAACCATTGCCAGCAAAGAATATGTCGACAAACTTGGTGTAAAATATACTTTGCTAACGCCACAGCACTCTACTTTATTGCTTACAGCAAGCATATTTCGAAAGATACTCTTGTTGTTATTGTGATTGTTTGATTTCTCTTTTACAGTTTCTCAACTTTTTGCAGGCTATTTAAAGCCAGACAATTTTAGATTGTAAGAAATTTTTAAAGCTTATATTATTATTATTACTGATACAAGTCCTATTAATTAACTCATACCTGGAAGGAAAAAGGTGGATTCATACCTTTCCCAGGGGTTTTTGCGCAGAAGGGAATATAACGTGATCTGACTGAAACTGTAACTTGACTTCCGATCTCCAATTCCTCGCCGCTATCAATTACACCAACCGAACATCCAAGCTTACAGCAGGTGATATTCCCAAACGGTCACCCATCTAGGCACTGACCAGGCTCGATGTTGCTTAATTTCGGTGATTTGACTAGAACCGGTGTTTCAACATGATGTGGCTGTAAAACAGTTCCTTCCCTGGTACTCAAGACATCTACACAACAACAGTCCTATAATACATTCAGAATAATAATAATAATAATAATAATAATAATAATAATAATAAGTAAGACCTAACCTTAATCCAAACATGCTTGCCAATGCCCGTAGGGACATCATGCGAAACAACAGACTCTCACAGGCAGAAATAGATAAGATAAAATTAGATATAAGACAAAATACTATGACCAATCACTCAAACTCTATTGAGACGAATGTAGAAATAAGGAATGCAACAGAGTATGGGGTGGATGCTGGAGTGAATGAAGTACGGAATAATCTCCCAGGAAATGAAACCCAAGACTCTACCTTAAACACAACCTACAGTCCTCCAGAAACTGCACCTGGAGTCATCTTCAGTGACAATAAGTTAGAATTCCTTGAAAACCACGGAGCTGAAATCACCGAAGCGAAAAATGACGTCATCCAAGTGCTCAGCAGAGTAACATTCACACAATTGTCAGACAGAGACCAGCTCCCGAAAATCCATATGACGAACTCCAACAGGCACATCGTGAAAATATATAATGCTGCTCTGGAAACACTGTTAACAGATAAACCACCGGGAAACATCACAGAAGTTAACAACGTCATATACGCCACAGATTTAGCAGCAACTCAGGCTTGAGTCAAGACAATAAATAAAATTAACAGACACAGAGAACCAGCATAAAACCAAACTGATTCGAGAAATACAACAAATCAGATGAGCTTTCTATATTAGATGAGCTCACCAGAAACCCTAATATTTCCACACTTAAATTCAAAAAGATCAAGCGGAAATATAACATTAAATCCCTAATTGATATTTCATCAATCAAGGAAATGCTGAAGCAGAAACTTCAGCTGAAGGCGCAGAGAACAAGACGATACGAAAAACGTTGTAGGTTCTATCGCCAAAATAAAATATTCGAACAGATCTTAAGAAATTTTACAGGGAAATTGGAAAAACACCTATACATGTCGAAAGGCCACCATCGATTGATAATGTACAGACATTCTGGGAAAATATCTGGAGCAGCCCAAAGGAGTATAATCCAAATGAAGAGTGGATACGGCGTGAAGAAGAACGAATTCTGGATACACCTATGCAAGAATGGGAAAATATATCCACAGATGATGTTAGGCAAGCTCTAACGAAATCCCAAAAGTGGAAATCCCCAGGAAGTGACAAGTTGCCCAATTTCTGGCTGTATCATCTCACATCTACCCATGAAATTCTTGCAAAAACATTATCAACGCTTGTAAATAATCCCTATGAAACCCCGGAATGGATTACTGAAGGTATGACATACCTCATACCAAAAACAACTGAAACAGACGACCCGAAAAATTATAGACCGATAACATGTCTCTCCACAACGTATAAGTTGATCACGTCTGTATTGACGAACCGTACTTATTCCTTTCTCGAAACAAACAGCACTCTCCCGCTGGAACAGAAGGGATGCAGAAGAGGTTCATATGGCTGCAAGGATCAACTTCTGATAAATAAAATGATCCTGGAAAATTGCAGGAGACGACGCAGGAACCTAAGTGCAGCGTGGATTGATTATCGTAAAGCCTTTGATAGTGTTCCACATTCTTGGATCCTTAAGACTTTGAAATGTACAAAGTTTCCCCTGTGGTATTAAATTTCCTTAAGCACAGCATGGGAATGTGGAACACCAAACTATACCTTAGTCACACCGGGGGCACTGCCATATCCAACCGTCTGAGTATCCGACGTGGAATCTTTCAAGGAGATTCTTTGTCACCCCTTCTGTTTTGTTTATCCTTAATCCCTCTTACACAGGAACTGAACAACAGTAGCTATGGTTACAAAATAAATAAGAAAATATTCAATCACCTACTCTACATGGATGATCTCAAACTCTTTGCCAAAGACGACAATGAGTTGAAAGGCCTCCTCAATATTGTAAAATACTTCAGTGACGACATAGGTATGGACTTCGGATTAGATAAATGTGCAAAAGTAACTTTCAAGAAAGGTAGAATTACAGAAACACCCTTAATAGATTTAGATTTTGTCACAAAGATTAGGGAACTGGAGCATGGTGAAGCTTATAAGTACCTAGGAAATAGCGAAGGAGATGGCATACAACACCCCCAAATGAAGGAAAAAATAAGAAAAGAATACTACAGGCGTGTACGTCTGGTACTAAGTACTGAGCTGAACTCAAAAAACAGGATATCAGCCATAAACACATTGGCTGTCCCTGTGGTGCAATACAGCTTCAATGTTCTTAACTGGAAAGAGTGATAACAGTTTATTCATTTGTATACCTGTATCTATGTCAGGCTGTTTATTATATATTTATCTAGCTAGATCGCTACCACAGTCATTTCGTATCTCTCTGTGTTTTTTTTTCATATTTATATGTATACATTAATATGTTCATATCTATCTATCTATCTATCTATCTATCTATCTATCTATCTATGCCAGGCTGATTATTATATATTTATCTAGCTAGATCGCTACCACAGTCTTTTCGTATCTCTCTCTGTTTTTTCATATCTATATGTATATGTCCATATCTATCTATCTATCTATCTATCTATCTATCTATCTATCTATCTATTTCAGTCTGTTTATATCTATTTTAACCAACCTTGCCTTTAAATTTTCGCCAATAATAGACAAGAACCCATCTTTTCGTGGGTTTTTGGATGTTCCAGTCTTCCAGGTATGTGGCTTGACAAACACATCACTGTCGCCAACGCTGAACCTCATGACTAATTATATCTAGTTTTCTCTCCGTAAACGTTGATGACTATCAACTGTGTACAATTTTCCGTGAAAGGGAAATTTGATGAAACTTTTCTGCCTCATGTCAGGCGCCACTTTGCCAGACTGCCGCAATCTGTTATCTCTATTAATTCTAATTTCTTATGATTTTTAACACGATTTGCTAGGATACATGGAGTAATATCAATCAAAAGCAGTCAAGAATATTTATTTTGTTACGTGTGGTTTACTTTTAATGTCCGAAATAATGAGAGGAGATCTTTCCTTGACCTTTATCCGTCTTTCCAGACAGTCGGCTCTACATTCCTGCAACGATGGAACAAACGACGGAAAACAATGGACATCTCTTGAGGCTTTCATTGTTAAATAAGGACAATAAAAATGGGACGAACTTGCCTGGACATAAGTAGGCACGAAGATAGCTAACGCATGTCGGCTAAACGTGTCAGATCTCTTTTTCTATCACCATCTATCTATCTATCTATCTATCTATCTATCTATCTATCTATCTATCTATGTCAGGCTGTTTATTATATATTTATCTAGCTAGATCGCTACATACAGTCTTTTCGTATCTCTCTCTGTTTTTTCATATCTATACATTAATATGTTCATATCTATCTATCTATCTATCTATCTATCTATCTATCTATCTATCTATTTCAGTCTGTTCATATCTATTTTAATCAATCCATGATAAAACCTACCTGATGATAGTAAGTACTTATCTCCAGCCTCCCATAATCTGTCTTCAAGCTCATCAGCAATAATAACAAATTCTTGTTGAACCATACAACACCTCCCACTTGTGTTAATCCATCTTTCAAACCCCAGTAGGGAATTCTTATGTTTGAAAATATATATATATATATATATATATATATATATATATATATATATATATATATATACTATCTGAGTTCGGGCGTCGATGGTAACACCTATATTATGACTATGTGCACCATTGTAAGTTAAGCTTTTAGCAACTAAACATTAAGTGTTTTCTGTGCTGGCCGAACTCGCGATTGTATGTAAAAGTTTGCGATCTTGTCTTTCAAACAACGATAACTAGATTATGGCATTTAGCAAACATTGACAAAAATTTATTTCCATTGTTATTACATTCATTGTTATAAACAACTTCACATTATTAAAAATTAATGTATTTAGTGACTTGAAATTATTATTCTTATTCATTTGAAAAAAAAATCGTTACAAACCACTGATTCAGTAACCATTTGATAACATTTTCCGTAATTATAATAAAAAGTGTACTTTGTATGTACGTTAATTGCCATGTCTCCAGATATTGCTGACATGACGTTTCAGTTAACGCCCTGTCTACTAATACTAGTGATAGATAATCTCTATCTTTCTATCTATCGTTAAATTTCTTTCTTTCTTTCTTTATTTCTGTCTGTCGATCTCAACTTGTTCACATCTATCTATCTATCTATCTATCTATCTATGTCAGGCTGTTTATTATATATTTATCTAGCTAGATCGCTACCACAGTCGTTTCGTATCTTTCTCTGTTTTTTCATATCTATATGTATACATTAATATGTTCATATCTATCTATCTATCTATCTATCTAAATTTGTTCTTTTTCATCCGATAATACTTATCTGACTATAGACATGTATATTTTATTCAATTATATATTTACAATGATTTGCAGTGAATTGTTGTCACGTATAATGTATCTCGTCGATACAATTGGAGTAAAATAAAAGCCGGTTTTTCAAAGTACTGAATTTGTTTTTTCATCCGATAAACTTTTCCCCGTCAAAGCTCTTTGCAGCGATCAAAAAACGTAATAATTGGTTGGGGCAACGAGGCTCGTTCCTGTAGCAGGCTGGCCTTGTCATGGAGAAGAACAACATTTTTTCCTATTCACCGGCGCGGGGTGGTGAGGACACAACTTATCATTTATGGACACTTGGCCTCCACTGGAAGTACAAACGTGCATTTAGCGTTCCATTATGCTTTAAATACTCCAACATGAAACAAACGGGTGATCCCACTACGTGCAAAATATTATTTTTCTTTCATGGCACCCATCTTTGAGGATCGGTTGTGGGGATTTTTTTCTTGTCAATCCACTGTCTTTTACTTGGAAATTGTCGTATGCAATCCATTTTAATCACCTGTTAGGATATATTTAAAGAACGATTAGTTAGGTAAATTCGTTATTACAATTAGTTCCACA